AACAGCTCTGTCTAAATCTTTTTATAAGCGAGTCACTGAAATGCGCCCCAAAATTACACAGGACTGTACTCGCCAGACATATATTATTCACCTGCGCAGAATAGACCTCAAACCCATATTCCATTTTATACCTGCAACAGACACCTTCTGATTAAGAAAGAGAAGTGATACCCGCTCACAATATTATGTGAAATAACCCGATCCTTAAATAATATTTAACTAATATTTTATTAGAGGAAAAGACTAAACTACCCTTAGAATATTTTATTAGGTTTAAAGTTGACTCTTTGACCAGGAAGGAATTTGGGAAATCCACTTGTACCGTTGCACGGAGCACGATGAAACGAGTCCGTAGACACTTAATGGACTCAATTCGGACTTGTAACGAAGGAATTACGAGCAAAAATGTAAAAAAAGGACAAATTGGTAATTTTCAAAAACCAGATTTTAAAAATCTGATTTCCTCTTCTCTCCTCACTCTCTCTCTCTCCTTGCGTCTCCTCTCTCTCCCCAATACCACCCAGCCGACCACCTCCATAACCACCCAGCCGCCACCAGCCAGGAAGAGCTAATGTGGTAGCTGATGCCCTCAGCAGGAAGTCTTCTGGATCGTTAGCTTATTTTCGAGAGTGGTATGTGCCATGGTTAGTGGAGATGAGGAAATTGAGAGTTGGGCTAGGTAGGGATGAGCAAGGAACACTGTTAGCTACTCTCTATGTGAGACCAGTGCTAGTAGAACGAATAATTGAAGCCCAATCTCAAGATCCATTAGTCTGTACACTAAGATTAGAGGTGGAAAATGGCGACAGGAGGGATTGTTCAGTGAGGAATGATGGAGCCTTGATGGTAGGCATGAGATTATATATCCCTAATGATGAGGCACTAAAAAGGGAGATTCTTGAGGAGGCTCACTGTTCAGCTTTTGCTATGCACCCTGGCAGCACTAAGATGTATCGTACTCTGAGAGAACACTATTGGTGGCCTTTCATGAAGACACAGATAGCAGATTATGTCAGGAAGTGCCTGGTGTGTCAACAAGTTAAGGCAGAGCGATAGAAACCGTCGGGATTACTGCAGCCACTTCCGATTCCTGAGTGGAAGTGGGAGCACATTACTATGGACTTTGTATTTAAACTCCCTCGGACAAAAGACAAGCATGATGGAGTGTGGGTGATTGTGGATCGACTCACTAAGTCAGCTCACTTTCTACCGGTGAGAGCGAATTATACCTTGAATAAGTTGGCTAAGATTTTTATTGATGAGATAGTGAGACTCCATGGGGTACCAGTATCCATTGTTTTCGATAGAGATCCTCGGTTCACGTCCCGTTTTTGGACGAAGTTGCATGAGGCATTTGGGACTCAACTACGGTTCAGTACTGGATTTCACCCCCAGACAAATGGTCAATCCGAGAGAACGATTCAGACTTTAGAAGATATGTTAAGAGCGTGTGCACTGCAGTTTCAGGGTGACTGGAATGAGAAACTGCCACTCATGGAGTTTGCTTATAATAACAGCTTTCAGGCGAGTATAGGGATGTCACCATTTGATGCCTTGTACAGGAACCAATGTAGAACGCCTCTGTATTGGGATGAAGTGGGCGAGCACAGGTTACAGGTATTTGAGGATGTGGAAAGAACAAAGAAACAGGTGGAATTAATCAGAGAAAGGCTCAAGGCGGCCCAGGATCGACAAAAGAGTTATGCAGATAACAGGAGGAAAGATCTCCAGTTTGAGGTTGGTGATTGGGTATTTCTGAAATTATCGCCTTGGAAAGGCGTAGTGAGATTTGGGAAGTGGGGAAAACTAAGCCCTCGCTATATTGGGCCATATGAGATTGTAGAACGTGTGGGCCCAGTAGCATACAGACTTGCCTTGCCCGCAGATCTTTCCCGTATACACGACATGTTTCATGTGTCTATACTCCGGAAGTATATTTCAGATCCATCCCATGTCTTGGAAGAATAACCCTTAGAGTTGAAGGATGATTTAAGTTATGTGGAGCAGCCTGTTCAGATTCTGGATTGGAAGATGCAAGTGCTTCGATCCAGAGAGATTCCACTCGTAAAGGTCTTATGGAGGAGTCATATCGTGGAGGAGGCCACTTGGGAACCCGAAGAGCAGATGCGGGCCCAGTATCCTTACCTCTTCGAGTGACAGGTACGCAAATTTTGGGGACGAAATTTTAATAAGGGGAGTAGATTGTAATAACCCGATCCTTAAATAATATTTAACTAATATTTTATTAGAGGAAAAGACTAAACTACCCTTAGAATATTTCATTAGGTTTAAAGTTGACTCTTTGACCAGGAAGGAATTTGGGAAATCCACTTGTACCGTTGCACGGAGCACGATGAAACGAGTCCGTAGACACGTAATGGACTCAATTCGGACTTGTAACAAAGGAATTACAAGCAAAAATGTAAAAAAAGGACAAATTGGTAATTTTCAGAAACCAGATTTTAAAAATCTGATTTCCTCTTCTCTCCTCACTCTCTCTCTCCTTGCATCTCCTCTCTCTCCCCGATACCACCCAGCCGACCACCTCCATAACCACCCAGCCGCCACCAGCCAGCACCGGACCGACCGAGATCAGACCGACGTCGCACCCACAGCCAACTTCGACCTCCCTTCCGCGTTGCGCCGCCGCGAACCGACGGAAAAACCAGAAAAATTCCGTCGATTTTGACAGATTCGATCTCCCTCCTCCGATCACCAATCCAGTCAAGTGAGGCACCCGGGCACCAGGTGACCCGCAAGAGGGACCTTCGAAGGGTCCAGCTAGCTCAGATCACCAGTGAGTGAACTTTTTGTTTTATAATGATTTTATGCAAATTAATATATTATTTGATCTTGAATAAGTTTATTTAAAGAATCGATATTTCTATGAATCGATTTATTACTTTTAAGTATTTCTATTTATATGCTGCTGAGGGGGATATCCTTAAGGGATATAGGAAAAAGAAAATATAATTAAATATCAGGTTTAATGGCAGCAGAGTTTTAAGTAAACATGAATTTGTTTGTTCACTAATCTCTTCAGAATTTTATATATTTTTAGAAACCACCATAGGTACCCAAGATTACATGTGTTGCCTTCGGTTATAATGATGTCTACGGACATCCAGTTGCATGCTGGCAGTTGGTGTTTATATTCTTGTGTTTGTCTGACAGGTGTAATGTTGGGACTGATATAAGTACAGGGAAGACTCTGCTGAATTTTCGACAGAAGTCAAAGCCCCCGTTTTAATTAACATTTGACTATAAGGGCAACCAAGTCAATTGTGTTCGACACTTGCCAGGTGTTGGACACGCACAGGGTCAGGCTTGGATTTCAAAGTGGAATTTGGGTCGGGTCCTGTCATTATGAACACAATAAGATACAGCAGTGATACCTACTCACAATATTATTAACACATTTTCAACACATTAATATAGATAATTAATACCTACAAACACTATTTTCAACACATTAAGATACATAATTCATACCTACTAACACTATTTTCAACACATTAAGATATAGAACTGATACACTATTTTTAACACATTGATACACTATTTTCACCTACAAACATTATTTTCAACATATTAAGATACATAAGTGATACACTATTTTCAACACATTAAGATACATAATTTTTACCTACAAACACTATTTTCAACACATTAAGATATATAATTGATACCTACTACAAAATGCATTGATCCTTATGCATCCCAAATCATCTCATATTCACAGTTAAGATCTTCAATTTTCTCTTCTACGTTCTACTTCTAATGGTACGTATTATTTGTTTTCCAAGCCCTATTAAATCACTAAAATGATGCCCTACACTCACACCACTAGATGGGCAAAGCAGGATTAGATTGAGGGTCAAAGCAAACAATAAAGGTTCCTGGAATTTTAAGAAAAGACAAGCAACAAGCAAATAAGCAAAGCAGCAGCTGCAAATCTTTAGGGATTTATGATGCCGATTAACTAGGAAGAAGCAACAACTATAAATCTACACTTCAACAAATTACCACAAACAATAGCAAAAATAAAACCCAAATTTTGGAAAGAGGAAAGAATATTTAAACTACAGCAATACTTTAAAAAAGAGTTAACTATACTTCAACAGATTACTAAAAACTAGAAAACACAACACACAAAGCAACTGAAGCCAATTTATATTTTTGTAAATACATCTGGTACCGAGAAAGAGTACTCTTACGCAGAAAATCAAAGCCCTAAAATCCTAAACAAAAATTAAACATTAAGTGAGTGCAATATAAAATGCAAATCTTAATATGAAAGAGAGAGAGGGAATTCAAGAGAAACGTATCGATTCTGTCCAAAGAAAATAGGAGATTGTATTGAGAGAGGAGAATATTTTTAAATGAATTCAGAGGCGAGATTGGAAAATGCGAGGCAGGACACGTGGCCTAAGGGGAAAGTGCAGCGTACCCGTTTGTATTGTAAGCTTGCTTTTTCTCTTCAGACGTTCAGATGACTTTGGATGGCTGGGAAATAGAAAGACTAGATGAGGGAGGTTCTGTGATAAGAGAAGAGGATGTGAAAGAGAAAGACTAGACAAGGGAGTTTCTGCGACAAAAGAAGAGGAATACACAAATTTATGTCTGGTATGTTAAATTTTAGGTGTTATGATTATGGTTTATTCATAAATTAATTAAGAAAAAATGCGCGATTGTAAGGAAGAAGAAAATTAATGAAGAACAAAGGCGCATTTTTTTCCAAAAGAGAGGGCCACTTGACATATGAGCTAAGGGGAAACTACAGCCTACCCGTTTATACCGCAAGTTTGTTTTTTCTTCTAAACCGTTCATATGCATTTCAAGGCCTGAAATTGATTATCATATAAAGTTCTCACATAGCTGTTGTCACCTGATTCGAGCGAGAGAATGGAAATGAATGAAAGTTCCAGACTCTTCATGTACCAAAAAGACCCAATAATACAAACGTAGGATGAGACAGCCAAAAACCGCATCCGACGGTTTGAATTAAAATTAGACCCTTTTCATTTCCCTTCACCCACCCACACTTCACTCGACTCAGCATCCTTAATTTTACTCCCCTTTTCAATATCGCCACCCTTATCCCTCTCCCCTCCTCTCTTCCCCCCTCTCCTCTCAAGTCTCTGAGACTCTCTCTCCAATGGCCAATGTCCTCCGAACTTCTCCTTTCGGGGCACCTTTTGCACAACTTCCTTCCACTCTCTCGCCAAACTCCCAAAAACCTTCATATGTTTCGTTTAGACAAAGCCAGAGCGGCAGCATACCTTATCTCACTCTAAGCTCTCTCCGGTTCTCTCACTTGCCGTCCCTCCGGTTCGCCAAGTTCGTTCCTTTGGCTTCTCAAGGTGAAACCGAAACTACTGAGACCGTGGAGGAGGTTCGACAGCCCGAAGAGATCGAGGTATTATTTATTTATTTATTCATTTTTCTTTAAGTTTTTAGATTTTTTTTTCCCTAAATTCCAGAAACGATTAGAGATGAACCAGAATTTTAGGTTTAGAGTTTGTAAGGTGGTTTGGTTGATGATTGAGAAATTGATTTTCTAAAAAAAAAAGAAAAAAGTAGAAACCAAGCATAAGATTACTTTATTTTCCTTGGGTAAATTGGTAGGATTATGAAATGTCGCATTAGCATCATGTTCATGAATAAATCAAATCCCTCCTGCCTGCGTTTGAGTTACACTTTTTCTAACACCATGTAAAAGCTTGAAACAAACCTCCCTCTCTTTTGAAAAAGAAGGAAGTATCTACACTGAACTTCCATATTACAGTAGATATCCATATAATTCTTATTGGTAGCGGTATGGTTTCCATTTTAAGATATGTTTCAGTTTCAATTTGAAGATAGAATCATTGTTTCCAGTGGTGAAGACATAATGCAAGGCGTTTTATGTCTCTCCTGTGAAGAATAAAGCTTTGCAAAGCATTAACGTTCCTCTCTTACCTTTGCCTCCACCTTTTAAGAAACTAGGCGGAATGACTTATTTTTCTCTTTCTTTCTAGATGGTGATAACAACATTACTAAGTATATTGATTTACATGATATTTGAGCTTAGTTACAAATTTACGAGACTTAGAAACTGTAATGAAGATGATGATGAAAAAATGTTTAATTTTTATCAAATTCACTGCACCAAAAGGAGGTTAGCATTATCTTTAAGAATGAGAAAGAGGTTTTTGTAAAATCGCTATGTCTAAGCTGCTCTTTTGTGGTCTATTTGTTTCTGTACCATGTTTTTAAAAATGACTCCAATTCTTAAATATAGAGATATTGAAATATTGAGATTGATTTCAGTTTGTTTATGATTGTGAAATATTTTTTTATGTATGTAAATTTTTTTCTTATTCAACTTTGTTTGCACACAGTTCTCTCTTATTTATGTTTTTTTTTCAGATAATGTTCAGTTGATGGTTCGTCGTTTCTTTCCTCATTTAATAATTTTAATTCAATATAGGAACCATGTAATTACAAACTGATTAACTGACCTGGATTGGTGTCACCTTTTTCTAATATAGTTAAACATCATTGCCTGTTATTTTAAATTCGGTTTCCCTATTGTAGATATTACTTAAACTTGTTAGTTCAGAACTGTTTAGCCTTAAGGTCTGTGTGACGGATTAGAAAAAAGAAAGAAGAATTGGCTGATGTTTGCTTAGTTCAATGCGTAATTGATGTAGACTCTTTACTCATAAATTTTGAAGACCCAACGACATTTATTTTCTCTTTCCACTATTGAGTTTTGCATATCTTGTCGGGAATCAGAGCATGTCATCTACATGATATTAGGATTATAATATCTTTACGTTTTATGTTCAAACTCTTTAATTGTATCAGACCAGGGCAGGGATGGTGAGTCATGTTGCCAAAGAGATTCTGGTGTCATTTAAAAGAAATTGTTAACCAGTTAGATTGTTATTTTACATCTATGTATAGTTAGTGTGTGTGTGTGTTCTTTTAAAAGAAGAAACATTCGTTCTGAGGTTCCTGGCATCTTACTTATGTTTTCCAATTATATAAATGGAAAATGTTTTGTATAAAAATGATTTCTTTATCCACACTTCAAAAATAACAAAAATTGTTGTTTTTCGGTTCCCTACTTTTCTTACTTTTTCTAATAACTATGTAACAGGACTCTTCAGATGGTGCAGTAAGTGTGGAAGATAGTACAAGCGACGGTGAAGAAAGTGGTACAAGTATTGATGATGAAGGTGATGCTGAGGAAAAACCTGCTTCAGCCGTCATAGCATCACTGCAATTATACAAAGAAGCTTTGGCCAGTAACGATGAATCAAAAGTAGCTGAGATAGAATCCTTCCTCAAATATATTGAAGATGAGAAAATAGGTCTTGAAAAGAAAGTGGCCTCTTTGTCTGAAGAACTGTCAGCAGAGAAGGTTCGGATTTTGAGGATAAGTGCAGATTTTGAAAATTTCCGTAAAAGGACTGATCGGGAACGCATTTCTCTGGTAACAAATGCTCAGGGGGAAGTTGTGGAGAGTTTGTTGCCCGTAGTAGATAATTTCGAGAGGGCTAAAACACAGATTAAGGTGGAGACGGAAGGAGAGGAGAAGATCAACAATAGCTATCAGAGCATTTATAAACAGTTCGGAGAGATCTTAAGCTCTCTTGGTGTTGTCCCTGTTGAGACAGTGGGGAAGCCCTTTGATCCGTTGGTAAGTCATTCAACCCTTTTGGTCATGCATAGGTGAATACTTATTAGCATAGAAATGACGCCCTTCCTGACATCCAGTGTTGGACATTTTCATTTGTCTGCTCAGTTTATAGTGAGGAGTTAATTTTAGTTACAAGTAGGTGTATAAGAGAAGACAACAGAATTATACTATCAATAACCATAAGCCCAAATTTTATCCTTTTACTGGAGGGTGCACCAATTACAATAAATTCCTCCTGATCAATACTGATGTAGGATAAGGGTGAATTGTAAATTTTGGTAGTTTAGCGCAAGCGAAAACAATGGAAAACAGAAAATAGAACGAACAAGGATAGGTCTGGAATCACTCCAGGGGTTTGGCTTCACACCAAGGAGTCTCCAATCCTAGAGACAATAAACTTTTCTTAATATCTCAACAACTGAATTTTAAAGAACTACATGGGGGGTATTTATAGCAAACTAAAACCTAGAGACAATAGAATATAAAACGCTTACTAAAACAGAAATCCTAATCCACCAAGGAACTAATTCAAATAATCTAGGAAACTAAAATAAAATCCTACTAAAATCTGGAAACTAAAATCCTAGTGAAATCTGGAAAACTATAGAATCTAGGAAACTAATAAATCAGGAAACTAACTAATGATGTCCGCATCAATTCCCCCTGGCTGAAAAGATCTCGACTCCGGTGAGATAAAGTTGTAATAACACTCCAAAATGTCGGGATCAATGTGCGGCAGGTCCTCCTTTGTAATCCGAGTACTACGAGAATCTGGTTTAACTTCCACTTGATTCTTCAAGCGTAATGATATGTAGAGCTTTGGCTTTGCCTACTTTGTCTTGCTCTTTGTTTGGTATAGATTGATTCACGAGCTTGGGTTGAAGTGGCTTCATCGTGATCTTCTTTCCTTTAAGGATGAACGATTGTATATTTTCTTGACCCAAGATGGTAAAATTGTGATCGTAGATCCATGGTCTTCCCAAGAGAATATAACTCACATCCATATCCACCACATCACACCAAACATGATCTTTGTTAGATGAAAACTGTATAGGAACGTGACACCATTGGCTAACAGGGATAGAAGATGTATTGGCAATCCATGCTACTCTGTATGGCACAGGATGCTTCTCGGGCGACAAACCAGGACGCGAAACAGTTAGTGTTGACACCACAGTGATACAACTCCCATTATCTATGATACCTTCCAATCTTTATCTCCAGACGTGATGTAAGTGTGGAAAATGGAAGTCCTATGCCAATCCTCAGTTTCCTTACTAGGTTGAGCCAAAGTACCCCTTAGTACTGCTAATGCTGGATGAGGGACTTCAAAATCGATTCCACAATCTTCATCAGGTTGTTGGGGTTCATAAATATCTTCCTCGAATTTGCCTTGATTGTTAGTTGGTTCGTTAATGTGTGCACACAGATTTCTTGTTGCCTCCTTCGTTGGGCATTGGACAGCAAAGTGTCCAAAACCTTGGCATCTGTAACATCTTTGCATTCAACTACCACGTGTATCAACTAGCACTCCTTTTCTTTTGGCAGTTTTTACTCAATTAGTTGTAGATTTTGGAGTCGTAGAACTTGGAGTCACAGATGTGCCAACATGAAAATTAGATCTTTGAGAATCAGTTTGCTCGACTACATTGGACGACTTTAAATACTAATCTAATTCTTGTACCATCTGAAAAACCCTCTTTGAAGCTTTGGAGGAGTTAAACCGAGAAAGTCATCCTTTGATCTTCTCTTATGTCACATCGCAACATGAATTCCTCAAATTTTGCAATATATTCAGCAACAGACATGTTGCCTTGATGAAGAGTTTGTCACTCATCCAACAAACATTGTTGATGTGATAATGTTACATATTTGTGCTTCAACGTTTCTTTCATCTCAACCCAATGGATGATTGGTCTTCACCAGCTCTCTCTAGTTGTGTTTCAACATTGGTCCAAAATAATCTAGCTTGACCCACCAATTTTATCTTAGCAAATCTCACCCTTCGAGCTTCAGACATGTCATGCCACTCAAAATAGCGATCCGGAATGCTTTAGGATTTAGCTTACCATCAAAATTAGGAGCGTTAACTTTCACTGATCTCATCACCTTTTCATCAGGGTCTGGCTCATAGCCACGATGAAAATTTTGCCTTTCGTCATCTCGATTATACCTCCTATAATTATGTCTCTCTGTGTCCCGGTCATTCCTTCTATCACGATGTTGTCGATCACGATTCCTCTCTTCTCCCTTCACACTTGCTTCATCATGTTGATTAGCTGCTTCTATGCCTGCGACGATCAATGGCTCCAAATCGTCCTTCAAAGTCTGTAAACCGACAATAAAAAAGTTCCAATCTGGTGGACTGCTCTTTGATGACAGTGGTCAGTTCTGCCATCTTCTGCTTTGTCATATTTTCCATCATCTGAGCAATCCATTCAAGGTCCATCACTGGCTGGTCTGTCTTACCAGTCTTAGTTGGAGCCTTCACTCGACACACGACGTAAAGAACAAGAAAACTTAAGATTTTGAACCCAAGGAAAGACGAAAACCTGGCTCTGATGCCAAATTTGATGTAGGATATGGGTGAATTGTTAATTTAGGTAGTTTAGCATAAGCGAAAACAATGGAAAACAGAAAATACAATGAACAAGGATAGGTCTGGAATCACTCCAGGGGTTTGGCTTCACACCAAGGAGTCTCCTATCTCTGGAAAATAAAGTTGTCTTAATATCTCAACAATTGAATTTTAAAGAACTACATGGGGGTATTTATGGCAAACTAAAATGTAGAGACAATAGGATAAAAATCCCTTACTAAAACAGAAATCCTAATCTACCAAGGAACTAATTCAAATAAACTAGGAAACTAAAATAAAATCCTACTAAAATCTGGAGACTAAAATACTCGTGAAATCTGGAAAACTAGAGAATCTAGGAAACTAACTAATGATGTCCACATCAAACACTATGTCTGTCTTGATGGCCAATAACTACATGTGCAGAATTTTGCCATTTTGTTAGTTGACAAATGACTTCTATCTTATGATTTGCTTTATGCAGGTAAGATACCAAGTTGGCTCGAAATTCAATCAATTACTTGATGAATATTATCAAGTACTTAGTCAATTTTGTTCAGGTTTGATGAAGACCTGGATACGGTTTTAAGTCAGACCAAATCATGATTGAATCGAGCCAATTTGGTGAGTTCATGAGAGTGAAAACTACATGTCACCTCTTTTGCAATAGTGGGATGAACACCTAATTATAGCGTTTAGGTTATTAAATGGTTAAATCTTATGAAAAGTTTGTCTGACATGACACTTGGTATGCACTCTTTATATCTTTTAGGACACAAACAATTTTTGCAATTCCTAATACTGAAACTTGAATTTGCAATTTTCTTATACAAGTTGCATGAAGCAATCATGCGTGAGGACTCCACAGAATTTGAAGAAGGTGTTATAATCGATGAATTTCGCAAGGGGTTTAAGCTTGGTGACAGGCTTTTGCGTCCGTCGATGGTAAAGGTATCAGCTGGTCCAGGGCCTGCCAAGCCAGAGCAGCAAGTTCCTCCTTCTGAAGAACAGGATGCCAGTGAAACCACCGAGGAGGGCAGCACAGAAACAGAGTCAGCTTAAAGATCAGATACTCAGTCTATTTTCAGTTTTGTATCAGCAATAGTAAGTTCATTTGTAATTCAATCAGTAGGCTAGTAAATTTTGTTGGGCGTGATTGTTTCTGGTAGCATATTACTGTTAATTTTATTTTTTTTACCGAGAAAATGATACCGGTTTGAGGGAATCATCATATTACTGTCAACACATTTGTTTCTGTGTTAGGACCTGAGCACGTGCTGCCTTGAGTACTCATTTGGATGTGCTTGAATGTTTGGTGCTTTAGTGCACAATATTGTCAAAATATCAATTGGAATTTTTATTTGTCGGTGGTTGTGTTATAAGTTGTTAATGGGATACCAAGTTTTATCTCTGCTTTGGTTTTGGCTAGTAAAGGAGAATCACAGGTTTGGAAGGGTTGTATTTATAACAAAGTAAAGACTTGCTATATAGTTACTAACCTAAAAAATAATTTCGACCGAAAAAAAAAAAAAAAAAAAAACTAAACTTGATGTACAAACTAGGTTGGTGGAAGAGGAGGGAGGAACTACACAGGTGTACAAACTCAGAGGGTATTTAGGTAGGGTGTGGTTGAGTTGAGGAACGAGAGAGAGAGAGATAGAAGAGGAAGAAACAGGAAAAGTAGAGGATTGGGAAACAAATAAAGCAGGAGGAATTTTGAGATGAAATCAAAGGGGTTTTGATGAAATTCATTTGCTGTAGCAATTGGAGTTGATTGAGAACAAAGATTCTCACAATCTGATTTTCCATTTAAATAGTAATTAGGACACAATGAGTATTTTATACTTAAGCTGACACGTCAGCTCAACAAACTAATTAATTTCTTTAACAGCGTCCGAAGATTGATTTTGATATTTGACTTCAAACAACTTTAATAACTTCCTTTAATAGCATTACAACATTGACTTTGATCTTTGACTGCAAAGTGCTATGAAATTTTATAAAATACTTTTATTTAAGGGACACCTTTTAGGGTTCATTATGATTTTGTTTTTAAACATCTAAACCATCTATTTTTCAAATTTTAATTCATAGATTATTTTTCAAAAAATTAGAAAAATTGAAAACCATTATTAATAAATTTTAAGTTGCCTATGGGTTCGCCTGAGTTGGTGGGTCCCACGCCTTTGCCAGGCTTGACCTTGTGCTCTGAAGCCGTTCGCAGGACTAGACCCTATCCTGCCCGGGCAAAAGGCCTAGCGGTGTTCTTGCTCTAGGAGATAGAGAGCTGCTTTTTCTGTTCCATATACCTTCTCATACTCTTTTATTAAAAACAAAATCCTTTTTCTTTTTTCTTTTTTTTTTGAACAAGGGAGGGGTAAGAACCCCCAACAGCCAAAGAAACTAAACAACACAAATCATACGATCTTTGTATTGCTAGAAGGACAAAAGTGAACGAAGGGTAGCTGACGGCTATTACTGTACTCACCAGTCAACCTACTTTGATGATTTGGTTGCACCTCCTCCACTCTCTTTCTCACTCACTTTCACTCTCACTCTGCCCGAGAGAGCAATAACTCCCAATTAGAAACGCCAACACAATTTGGGTGTCTGGTTCCTGAAGAGACCACTGAAACTATAAAACTCTATCTTCAAGACTTGAACGCATCCGTCGCCTGAGAGGAGGAGGCCCCTTGCCCTTGGGTAATAAACTCCCTGTGAGTCTCTTCTCTCTTTCATTCTATCTACCTCTGTTCTCTACATATTATCAGAGTGAGAGAGAACTTTTATGTTCTTAGCTCCTTAAGTTTCCATCAAGTTTTGTATCTCATGCTGCAAAGTTTTTATATTATTTTCCAAAGTTTTAATACATATTATATGTATATTATATAATTTTAGATTTAAAATTGTCATGTGTTGGGAGCTACGCTCTGCATCACTTGATTACATATGACTTTGCAGGTTATATTATATAAGAATGTTTTTTTGGCCAAAGATTCTCAGTCAGAACTGAGAAAACAAAAAACAGAGCTGCCAAAAACAAAAAATAAATAAAAAATTTGTTTTAGGAATGATTTTAATGGATACAACAGCTTGGATTTGAATTAACTCTGGAGGGAGAATTCTTGTACAAAATAATATTTCTCTCACTGTGAATATGGTGGTACTCTGAATATATAGAAATAGAAAAAATTTTGCTCTTCAATTTGATAATTTCTGTAGCAACGGTAGAATGCATGTTTTCTTTGCCCATGAGAGTAATTTCCAATCTTTTCTATATTTGACACTAGGCAGGTTAAAAAGAAGTAACAAAAAGACACTTGGTCACATGGAAGAAGACAATATTAACCAGACTCTTTTGACAAAAGAGAAAAGTATACAGGACAATGGTGTTGAGGATAAGGAGGAGGATGAGAATTTGCCACTCAAAAACAAGGTATGGAGGGAAACCAAGAAGATGTGGGTCGTGGCTGGCCCTGCTATCTTCACCAGAGTTTCCACATTCGGAATAAATGTCATCAGTCAAGCCTTCATTGGTCACATTGGCTCTACACAACTAGCTGCATTTTCGCTTGTATTCACCGTGCTTGTCAGGTTCGCAAATGGCATCCTGGTACGTTTACAATCTTCTTATTTGCACAAGCATTCATCACCAGGACAACAGCAACCCAGCATAAAATACAACTCTTGCTTTCTGGCTAATTTTAACAATTTGAACTCCACAGTGAATTTGAAAGCGTTGGATATAAACTTGATTAGATGGGTAAGAATATAGTTGCAGATCCAAGCTTTTAAATTATATTATGAACTTTTTTTTTCTTTTAAAAATCCTAAAAACCTTTTAAAATTAATTATTAAAAAATTTGAATAAACTTGCCAAAATATTAAGACTTCATTAAAACATAACAAAGGACGAAAAAGACCCTCCATAGCAAATCCCTTCAGTTCCTCCAGCTTTCTACAGCTTCTCCAAAGCAAGCCCCAATCACCAGCTCCAATTCCAGATAAACAAAGACTTTCCAAACCCAATTTTGCATCAGAATCCTCATCTGCACAGAACCCATATTCTGTACTGGCATCAAAAACTTGTTCAAAACCTTCCCCACTGCAAACCAAGATTGACAATTCTTTCAAAGAAGGTAAATTGAGAATCCACATGAGCAAACGAGGCCTGGAGAGATTGATACACAAATAGGTGAGCTGGGTGCATCCTGCAGAGAGAGAAGTACCTCGAATTGTTGAGGGACAAAAGGAAGAGACTAAGAGAAGGAGATGATCAGCAAAAGTGGTTGAATTTGTGGTGATGAACGGGGGGGCATAGATTTTTTTTGGGGTGGGGCGGGGTGTGGTGGGGGGTGGTGGTGTGAGAGTGAGAGTTGTAGTGGCATATACAATTCTGTTTTGTGTGTGTTAGCGTTTTGATGGCAGCGGAAGCATGGGCGGGCAGGGGGGAGGTAGCTGAGATTGGATGGTGGTGTCTTGTTTTTTTAAAATTTTTATTCTTTTTGTTTTTGGATCTCTTTTTTTTTTATAATTCAATTCAATTATTATATTAGTTTTAAAAAAAAATTTAACAGAAAATTAACAAATTGGATCACATTGGCAAACGGTACTAAACACAAAGATTAAATTTGCCAAATTAAAAACACAGGACTAAATTGGCTAACACGGTAAAACACAAGTACCTCAACAACAACGTTATAATTTATCCTCTGTTTTCCAAATTATTGAGGTGTGGTTACAATACACAATTAGTTAATGAAGTCATCTTGCTCAATTAAAACCTTCACATAATCTGAGGGATGTTTCTGAATCTGTTATTCTACAGCTGGGCATGGCTAGTGCGCTAGAAACTCTTTGTGGTCAATCATACGGTGCGAAACAGTACAACATGCTTGGAATACATCTTCAGCGGTCATGGATAATTCTGTTTTTAAGCACATTGCTCCTCATTCCTCTTTGCATCTTTATAACCCCGATTTTAGAGGCTTTAGGCCAAGAAGATTATATTGCAGAAGAGGCAGGATATATTTCTCTATGGGTGATCCCTGTGCTTTTTGCTTTTGTTCTATCCTTTACCTGCCAAATGTACTTACAAGCACAGAGCAAAAATATGATCATTGCTTATGTGTCAGCAATTTCAATTGCAATCCACATATTCCTTTCATGGCTTTTGACTGTGAAATTTAAGTTGGGGGTTGCCGGTGTAATGGTGTCGACTGTTATAGCATATTGGCTACCCAACGTCGGTCAGCTGTTGTTTGTTCTATGTGGAGGATGCCCGGAAACATGGACAGGCTTCTCAACCTTAGCTTTTACAGATCTCTGGGATGTCCTCAAGCTTTCTCTGTCATCTGGTGTTATGCTTTGGTAAGACCTTATTGTTAGTTTTGGTTTTACCTATGGTGTTTTTCTGTCGTTCCTTAGTTCATCTTTCTTTACATGCATGCGTAATTTGTTAGGATACTACTGATTTCGCTTATTTGAGAAAATCTGGATGGTCTATATAGCCCAGAAAATTAACTTTTGTGTAATATATACTTCTATTTGAAAATATGAAAAAAGGGTAAGAAGATCTTTCAGTAATACCTTCTAGTACATAAATAAAAAAAATAAAAAAACTGGTACCCCAGGACTCCTAGCAGTAGATATTCAGAAGAATGATATTGATATGGTTGTTTTGGGATGAATGTCTTATGACTCCTTATAGTAGTAGTACATATTTGGAGCTTCTAAGTAGAAATCTGATTTCCCTTTGCAGTCTTGAGCTTTGGTACAACACAATCTTGGTTCTTTTAACCGGAAACATGGAAAACGCAGAAGTCTCTATCGATGCTCTATCTATTTGGTAATTTTTCAGAGCTTTCCTCCGTCTCGTGATCATTTTCATATGTCCTTTCGCCTTTCGTTTTTATATATACGTATATTGTGTCATCCAACTGTTTCAAAACCTACTTTTCTTTTTTTCTTGTTTTTTACATTTTCATGTGTTCAATGTAAACATTGCAGCCTCAACATTGTTGGGTGGGAAATGATGATATCCCTTGGTTTCCTGGCTGCAGTAAGGTACTTATTATTCTCATTATCATTTTTCTTCAGAAAATAAGATGATTTACTGATGTTTGGTTGAAATGTTCTAGTGTACGAGTGTCGAATGAACTTGGAAGTGGTAGTGCAAAAGCGGCAAAGTTCTCTGTTAAGGTTATTGTGTCGATATCATTTTCTATTGGGTTTGTGCTGTTCTTGCTTTTCCTATTCTTGAGGGAACGTCTTGCCTATATTTTCACCAACGATGAAGAGGTAG